AAGGGTAGTTGGCCTACAATTTTAGGGGGCATATTTGCTCGTCGTTTTGAGTGCGAGGGGCCGTATCCTGTTGTGAGGAAACTTTTTCCGGTTGTTTAGTTTTCGCGGTTTTTCACGTTTATCATGTGTCTATACATCCATTCTCCTCCCCAAATGGCAGCACAGTCGAGCCCCGCCTCCACTCGACGGCAAAATTTTTGAGAAAAAAAATTGTAAATTTTTGGATACAGCCTAGGATCACGAGCGCGTTTCAAAAAACGTATAATCAAGTAGGACAGAGCGGAGCATTCACTTCATTTACAGCGAAATTTTCGACATTTCAGTTTCTTTACCGATCAACTCTCCTTGGCATCCCGAGAAAATTGGCTTTTTTATAGGATTCGCCTCCTCCTTCCATCTAATTCTCTTATCTGTGGTGAGCATAGGCAGTTTTCAGGGCGCAGCATGGGTACCAGCCACCAAACTCACTGGCAAAGTTCGTGTTTTCGTTCCCAATTCAGCCACAATAAAAGTAACTTCTTTGAATTTAGTGGTATAATGATCGCTCATACGCAAAGATGTTCTCCATACTTGGATGTGGCAGCACAGTAGCTGGATTATTGATGCCATTTGTAGAGTATTCTTACTGGCGTATGCTTCTAAAGTATTTTGGTAGGAGTGTTTCTATGAGATTATCTTTTTTTTTCAGAAGCTCTCATTTAAATACCCGGGGTTTCTGTTTAAGAAGGTTTTCAAGTTCTCTTCTTTAGGCCTCTTCACCTTAGCATTTTGCGCTTATTTTTACTACACGCTTGCGCGAAGACGATATCATGCCACAACAAGTGAAGAGCAAGGACTCCTCACCGTCCTTGTTATCGCTCACTTATTCACCTGTGATTTGGAGTGTAGCTGCAGTGTACCTATTTTCCATGGAGGTTTGTATATCCCTTCATATGTTTCTAACTGCTGACGGAAAATTCAAGCTATCGTTCAACGGCAGTAAGGCAGCGTTCAGACTTCGCGATGAGACGCTACGGCGTGCGTCATCGCTGTACGCTGTCCTACCATTTCAGTGGCGCTCTAATCAGGGCACATCATTGGTTGGGGATTTTAGTCGGCTCTATACGCCCCCCCCCCTGTTTTTTTGGGAGTTGGTAGGACCCTTACCCCTCTACAATCAGATTTTCCCCAACTTCCTGCCCCTTTTTTCCAAAATTTCCCGAAAACTTCCCTACTTTTTACCAAAAATTTTGCTGTCGAGCGGGGGGGCATATAGTACGTGAAACAGGAAAATCACCAAAAGTCAACCGCCACTCCCACAACGCCAAAACGTAAATACGACCCCCCCCCCAAAAATGATCAAATACGACCCCCCCCTTTACAACGTCCATGAAGCGAGAAAAATCAACTATCAAAATAAATTTTTCTCAGCCCAAATACGACCCCCCCTCCTGGCGACCAAATACGACCCCCCTATTGGGGATTCCCCAACAACGATGTGCCCTGGCTCAAGTGCTATGGGTGGGAACGCAGCCATGGATATCGATCGACGTCGGCCGCTAGTATTTCGGGAGGTATAGAAGAACAGGTTTACACCACGATGTAAGATTAGGCAGAGCTCATCCTCCTGTTCTCCTATACTCTCTCAGAACATTAGCAGCCGGCGCCGATCGATACCCGCCTATTTCGGTACCTCATCTATATCATTGGCCATTGCGATGGTCGCAGTGGTGCGTCGTCGCGCGTAATCGTGAAGTTTGAACCCTGTAACTGTTAATTTTATTGCATTTTGTTGGTGTGGGATGGCTGTCTTAGCTGTTATTGATATACGACTGATTATATAAACAATTTTACTTGTTTTCATCCTTTATTACTTCTAAGCTTTTTTTGGAAATTTGGTCCGCTTTTGCTCAGGGATATCCACCCAAGCATGTTTTTCTCCCAGTGTAAGCGAATTGCGTTTATACTTTGCCACTGGAGTACGAGAGAATCGGAGGTCAGGAGTATGCGCCACCAGGAATGTATAGGTACCGATCTCGCGTTTCGAGAGAATCGGAGAATGGACGTTTCAGGAGAACGCGCGTCGAAGGGTGGGTAGCGCTGGCTACTACCCTTCAACGTTCTTTGAAACGCGCATTTACCCAAAACGCGGATTTGCCTTTACTCCTACTGTAGCGTCGCGACTATGAACGCAGCCTTGGATTTCCTGCTTTTTTTGTGCTGATTTACACTAGAAAAACTCAACCATGTAGTTCGGTGATGACATGCTTGGCCTTGTTTTATATATTTTTTTGTTTCTGTCTGTTGTTTTTTGAAACCTAGTACCTTCCAAATAGCCTTTCGTTCAGTGCTTTCCAATGTTTTGAAGGTTCGAACTGTGTGCGAGACATGGATTCCTCTCTACATGGCTGAAAATGGCCTCAGCCTTGCAACTTTTCAAGTGACCTACGAAATAGGAGGGTAGGTTTACTCGAGTAACTAAAGGCTGCCTTCAGGTAGACCCCATTGACAGTTTTCAGGATACTTGGTAATCTTCTTTCGGGTTGGCTGCTTGGATCAGCTGTGTCTACGCATGAGTTCCGATTCAGCACGGCGTCTTGTAGGCGTCTCGAGCAGCGCTCTGCTGCTTCTGGTGGCGGCCTTTAGTATCACAGCTCTGGTGG